GTCATTCACTCTGTCGATCTCTCTCCTTTTCGGATACACCGGGTTCGTTGTTTCCTTCTTTTTTTCCATTTTTTATTCGCGCGTGTGCTCCGCCGACCACTAGCGCACACGTGCCGTGCCAGGCACAATTCGACCCTCCTCCGATTCCGAGAGATCGCTTCTCCACCGTGTACAACATCGATATGCAGCGCGATCTTCTCCGTCGGGGAATGCCCGAGAGGACTAGTGAACACGAAAGTACGCGTGGACACATCCTTCTCCGATATCACCGTTGTGCATGTGTATACACCGTATTGTTTGTTCCTTTCACGCGCTTAACCATCTTGATAGCGACCGCGGGCGGCTGTCGGCATTTCTGTCGAAATCGTTTTGGTGGAATGCACTCTTTTATCACGTACGTTACGGTGGATCCGAGGCATCAAAATAATTAATCTGGAAGAAGTCCCGTTGGGACGATGAACATTCGTAGTACCGCGTGACCAGTGGACTATGTATACTGTTTAGTGGATCATTCTTCGAAAACGGGACACAATGAGAAATTCGTTTTATTCGTTTACGATTTCCATTCGATTGAAAATAACTTGATTTTGTTAGATATTTTGAATTTGTTTGCTTATCCAGTTTCTCTCGAAGCTATCGATGCGTATGAATTTCACAGTCTAGTGGTCAGTTGGGAACTATGATTTTCTGCATTCACCGATCACGGTTCAGATAGTCGGAAATGATTAAACGCCAAGGATTCGTCCGATAGAAATCATAATCGAACGTATCGAATACTTTGTGCAGCTTGGATTGCGAATGCTGCGACGAATATTAATAAATGCCCACGCAGGAAACGTTCGCGTTCATGCTACCTAGACGTTTGTACTGTTTGGATAGAACATTTACTTGCGCTATCCGAATGATATGATTGCACGAACATCGCGTTACTCGATTTGTATATGTTTCCTTCGCTTACGTGGTGCAAACGTTTGTTTAAGCAATCTAGATAACAGATATATTCGTTTCGCTGTTTCCATACGCGTGGGCTTCAACAGAAATGTCGATCGGCATCGGGTACAATTAAAAACGGAACAGAGAAAGAAACGAAAAGAGAAGAAAACGTTCGAAGCGATGCTCGATAAAGAACGCCTGACACGCCGGCGTCGATAAGATCGCGTCGAAGTGTGTACTTATGTATTTCGGCCACTTGAAACGGTGACCGACATGCACAATATCGTTCGGATCAAGGATCATTCCCCGGGATGATCAATCGTGCATGATCGCGTTCCGCGGAAACGCGATTCCCTCGCGCGAGGCTTGATCGATCATCACGAACCGCAACATTGCACGTCCCAGTCTAAAATTCAAGGATAACGCAATCGAAAGGTTAACATACACAATAACATTAATAATATTAATAATGATATAATTGTCATAATAGTAATAATAGTAATAATCATAATAATAATTGACGGAAGAAGAAACGGGGGGAAAGAAAGGGGAAGTGGAAAGAATGGAATCAACAAGAGAAAACGGAGAGAAACAATAATTGGGTGTCCATTCGTTTCCCCCCGTGTACTTCACGGTGTT